TCAAAACTATGATCCATTGGGGTTGTGTCACCTATAACAATCACAGCTTAGATGTTCCTTCAAGAGCTCTGACTACACAACCTCAGCTGGGACGAACCAGCCCCACAACAATTCATTAATCGCTGGCTGCTCATCAGAGAATAATTCACACAACTTAAGAAATAATAATTCACAATGGATCCATACAACAAGACATTCAACAGTAGAAATTCATTGATTCTCTGGTGCATCACAGCTCGCGATGGCCGCGGCAGATCTATTCAAAAATCAATTCACCGTCCACAGGGCCCAAAATCACATTCATCCGTGCGAAAACTAACGTAGCACCAATCAAACAATTCACGATCCCCAGGCTAGAGTTAACTGCTGCGTTAATTCTAGCGAAACTCACGAAGTATGTTCGAGCTACACTCCACAGAGTGAACATACATTCAATTCACTTATGGACGGACTCTTCAATCACACATTCATGGATCAATTCAAATGCAGGACGCTGGAAGGACTTTGTAAGGAACAGAGTAGTGCAAATTCAAGAACTAGTTGCGGACGCGCACTGGCACCACATTTCTGGCAAGGAAAATCCAGCGGACTGTGCTTCAAGAGGCATCACAGCAAATCAATTAAAAGATTACTCGCTATGGTGGAGGGGACCCACCTGGTTAGCTGAAAATCAAGAAAACTGGCCAGTAAATTCACCACCAGCTGACGAGGCTTGCAACTTAGAAGCTCGTCCTGGAATTTCACTCATCGCAGCAATTCAAGATACAATAATTCAATGGGACTTGGTCAACAGATATTCAACACTCAATAAACTACTTAGAATCACCGCCTTAATCATCAAATTCACTTCAAGACTTCGACATTCTTCAGTTACCAGTCCTTTAGCATCAATCACAACAGCTGACATCGAAAAAGCGAGAATCTTCTGGATAAAGTCTACTCAAGCAGCACATTTTCACCAAGAAATCAGGACTTTATCCAACAATCAACATCTTCCACCAAACCATTCATTTAACAGACTCACAGCATACGTTGACTCAGAAGGAGTTCTACGAGTAGGAGGACGACTTCAGCATGCTCAGTTGAGTCATGATTCAAAACATCAATCAATTCTACCTCGACATTCACCATTCACCACTCTTATTATTCGACATTATCATTTAATCACGCTACATGGTGGCACTCAACTTACACTCACAACAATCAGACAACGTTACTGGATCATGGGTGGAAGAGCTCCAGTAAAAACATTCATTCTTCGGTGCATCGAATGTGCTCGACAAAGAGGCATAAGAGCACAACAACTCATGGGCCAATTGCCACAATCACGTATCACTCCTTCACGGCCATTCTCTCATACTGGCATAGACTATGCTGGGCCATTCACAATCAAAACATCATCAGGCAGAGGAGCCAAGACTAGAAAAGCTTGGGTCTGCGTATTTGTCTGCATGTCAACTTCTGCAGTTCATTTGGAAGCAGTTAGTGACTATTCAACTGAAGCATTCATTGCTGCCTACAGGAGATTCACCTCTAGACGAGGATTATGCCAGACAATCTATTCTGACTGTGGCAGAAATTTCATTGGAGCTGATATAGAACTCAAGAAATTATTCACACAATTCACCAGAGAACATGAGGTCATCTCTAGATTCATCATCACCAACGGCACTCAATGGTCATTCAACCCACCTGCAGCACCACACATGGGTGGCAAGTGGGAGTCAGTAGTGAAATCACTTAAATTTCATTTGACGAGAACAGTAAAAGAATCACTCTTCACGTTTGAAGAGATCACCACACTACTGACACAAATAGAAGCCATTCTCAACTCAAGACCTCTAGAGCCAATCAGTGATGACCCAGAAGACATTCAAGCACTCACTCCTGGACACTTTCTTATTGGGTCAGCACTCAACACTGTTCCTGAACCATCAACCTCAGAACCTGCACATTCAATTCAAAATCGATGGCGGATGATTCAACGACAATCACAGCAGTTCTGGTACAGGTGGTCACAATCTTACTTACAAAAATTACAAGCTATTTCTAAGTGGTTTTTCAGGAACAGAACAATTCAAGTTGGTGCATTAGCCTTGCTAACTGATGAAAGATTTCCCCCCACGAAATGGCCACTCGTGAGGATAATTCAACTACACCCAGGGCAAGATGGGCTTCCACGAGTAGCAACGGTGAAGACACCAACAACGACGTTGGTCAGACCAATCGTCAAGCTAGCCATTCTACCAATCAACCCAACTCCTGAAGCCCAGCAGCAGAATCAACCAGAAGACAATCATCAACTAGTTGCTGATGGCGGGCGGCATGTTGAGAATTAATTAATTCTCAATTTGAATTTGCCAGCTGACAGGAACTTCGGCGGCCATCTTGGGACTGGGTCGATAACCAATCGACCTAATAATCAATAATTCTTTATCTAGTCACTCATTTGACTACTTTTGAGTGTCCCTTTTGACTAATGAAGTTCCTGTCGCCATTCTTTCACTGTTCTCGTTCACGTGTACACGCTATTCACATTCTTTTCAGACAATCTTGAAGTTTCGAGTCAATCATTAGTGCTAGTGCTATTCTGAACCACCAGAAATATTCAATTTTCATTCTACAATCAAATCAACTAACAGTTCAAGACATTTCATAGTAAATTCACGAAGTTACAGTAAATTCATTTTGCATTGCATTGATAGGCTAACGCCACGTGCACAATCATATTCTTGCTCAACTTGAGAAGCGTGCTGAGCTCGTGTGGGAGGTCAATAATACTGAACACACCAATTTGAGTATTTTTTAGACATTCAATTCACATTCAGTAATTACAATTGACATTTAGTGATTTCTGAAGACATTCATTTCTTGTATTCATTGACGAACGGTCATTCAGTGTATATTGTGTACCTGTTAGTGCTCAAAATAAAGATTATATATTTTTCATAAAACCTGACTTCCGTTTGCTCTGTTCCGGCACAATCATCCCTATCCTTAAACGGTTAGGTTAATTCAAAAGTTGAGATTTTCTCAACAGAAGCTATAAAACTGAATTACCATGCCAAAAAATTGTCAGTCAACGACGAAACCTCAAACGACTAAGTCGTCAGAATATTTCGTTTTTAAAGAGCTTAGACCTAAAGCCACGCCTACAAAAAAAGTCAGAGTAAAAGTATACTATTTTCCATGTTTATTGCCATGGCTACAGGAGAGGAGACATTAGCTATCAACAGAGGAGTTGTTTCAGATGAGTCTATATCACATTGTGAATTACATGCTCATCAACCTTATGCATCAGCTTCACTCAACATTAAGATTTGTGCTTATTACCTTGCAAGAGTTTTCTTCATGTTACTAGAAAATTTACTAAACTTAATGACACTGCTGTAGCAACTACAACAAAATTTATACACATAGCATTACTTATTTGAAGAAATACAATATGAATTGAATAGCATTGAGATTGATCGCAATAAAAAGGATATTTTGACATTTTATTGTCATTGAATATGCAATTGGGATTTACTGAAGATCATCATCGCATTGTTGTCAATGATAAGAATAAACTTGTTTTAACACGTTCAGACAACGATCTAAACGCAATAGTACAAGTTACAGCGAATGCAGATAAAAAAATTACATTGACGAAAATTGAATGGATGATTCCTTACATCACAGTGTCAGATACAAGAAAAGTACAATTAATAAATTATATTGCCAAGAATCCGCCAATAACAGTGAGCTTTAGATAATGGAAAACTTATAAATATTGATTGTTATCGAAAATTAAAAGAAACGTTTAGATGATGAAAACATCAACACAATTGGAGAAATCGATATATGTTATACTGGCATTTCAAACAGCACGAAAAAATGATGCAACAAAAGATTCCATTCAATTTCATCATTGTAATGTAAGGGACGTAAAAGTTTCTTTCAATTCACAATGTTATCCATGTGGAAACTTGAATCTTGATATAGCTCACAATCAATATGCATTATTATATGATACGTACCAAAATTTCCAAGAATCATATTACGGTGAAGATTCAGAACCTCTTCTCACAAAAGAACAATTTTTCGGCAAAGCACCCTTGATTATCATCGATTGTGCAAAACAAAATGAATCATTAAAATCTGGATCTGTGGATGTACGAAGCAAATTTGTATCTACAAACATATGGTGTATCACCAATTTCTCATGAAAGTCCATTGAAATACTTTCTACCAACATCAGCGTCCCATACTTCATCAATAGATAATTCACCGTAATCACATGGTGGTTGAAGTAAAAAATGATATTCACAAATTTCTTCCAATCCTAACCATTTACATGAAGCTAACTCTTTTACAATCACTTTTCCGTTAGAAAAACGATAGCCTCTTATATCAGTAACAAGATCCATGATAATCACTCGTTCTCTCTCTGCGAGACCAATTTTGAACGCACAAGCTCGGTGGTTTATATTGAAATAAGTATAAAAGCTCGAAACTGCTTTCAGCCAGCGTGAATCGGACTCAGTCGCACCGCACGCCAACCTCTTCACTTTTAGTCTCGAGCATGGTAATACAGCCGCTGCTTACAGTATACTTGCTGAGAGCCATGTTGCCACGGCCAATAATTATTTTAGCTAGGCTTGCATATTCTGCCTCTACTGTTAATAATGTCACAGTTTAGTGTTTTTCCGATCTCTATGTAGAAGTTGCACTGCAAAATGTGAACGTTTATCTAAAGAATAAGCAACAGTCAATGGGATTACCATCTTAATGAGCATCTAAACAACTGACAATGGTATCTCCTGATTCTGAGTAAGCCGTACCTATTTTTTTGGTTCCGATATCGTAGGAATTTCTTATCCTGGGCAAAATGACACCTTTAAAGTCAGGATTGTGAGCAATAAAATCAGTTTATTTGTACTATATACAAGTTGTCATTCATGATACTCATATATATCGATGTGTGACATGATATTTTAACGCATAATTATATATTTCAGACAGAGAAATCACCCCCTGAGACGAATCAATTGACAGATGACACTTCTCAGGCCCAACGAGAACAAATATCACAACTTGAAGCAAAAAATAAAGAAATTCTTCGAGAAATAGCTCGATTAAGGTGAGCAAACCATCATACTATTGTCAAAAATTAGTTTTTTCTCTGCTTTGAGGTTGGACAAGTGACATTCTGCCTCCCTCAGAGAAAGTGACAACCCGTCTAGACATGCGCACAGACGATATTTTGTCTTTTCATGCATGATAGAATGTGTCGCTTTGGGACTTAGAAGTAAATTTTAACTTTAGGCAGGGGTATGAAAGAAAGATATTTTTCGAAACACATATATTGGTTTGTGAAAGCGACTTGAGGCATATCGAATTTTTCTGTAATTAACCCATTAATAAGAAATATCAATTTTCTTTTTTGAAAATTTCGTTAGTAATTTTTTTTTTTAATTGAATAAAGAACGTATCAAGTATAACTCCTTTGTACATAGACAGAGTGTCAGTTGAAACTGAAAATCACGATAATAATGATTAGAATAATTCATGACGATTCATTGAATAGAAACTAAATAAACAGAGTATATTCATCATATAGAACTAATTACGATTTCATGTTTACTCGATATTTAAATTTATTGCAATCAAATTCATTATGAACTTCAAAAATTTCCAGTGATATGAGCTGGTTACAGATAATTCCTATCCAGTGAAACAATGAAGCTACATACATCAATATCTGTTATGTTCTTCGTTGTTTTCAACACATTTAAGACTCGTTTTAGCATCGAATTTACAAGTCTATATGAAACGATTGGCAGTGACTGGTAAAGTGATAGGTAATAATGCACGAATCTGAATTCTTTAAAGCAAATTTTATTACTGTTTTTAATCGAACGAATTTCAATAACTTCCTAATAGGAAGTTGATGATATCTTATGCAACTGTCAATACTGTAAAGGTGCCGATTACAGGAAAGAGTAGAATATTCTGAGATTTTGCCATAACATTCCATACTACGTGACTTATTAGTTTATATGCTTTTGGAAAGTAAAAAAGCCCTCTAAACATAGCAACCTTTCGAGTTAGTTTGAGGGTTGTATGTAATTTTTGTCAATATTTTTCCAAAGAACTAAATTGATATTAATCTACATGGAAAATGATAGAAAACGGTACTCTATATAGTAGTAAGAATTTAACAATTGTGATTACCCTGGATTTACCATGCTAAAAAATAATCAATATTCAATTCAAAGAAATCTATCGCTTATTCCTCAAAATGCCTGATTGCAATCGGAAGAGCAGAAAAAAGGTGATATGTCTTTTTGCATTTTATTCTGGCTTATTAAGGAGTATTCCATCTATAGCTGAATATTTTTCTCCCGCTGTGAGCAAGGACGTATCTGCACGACTCGTACTGACGTCATCGTGTCCCAAGTAATAATAGGTTAAGTCCCGTAGTGCACACGGAACTTTGTATCTAACAGGTTATGATGAGAATAACTTATTCTAGCCCTAGAAAGAGGTCTGAGTACCTCATTAGCGATACGATGGAAAGAGCTCCTATAAAATTTTTGTAAATAGAGATTGAAATTATCATCTTTAATTCCCTTTTCTTCCTCCTTTTTTGTCAAGAGGAATCATTGGAAAAAAACCTAAAGAGTCCAAAATGCCAACTTCCAAGAAGTCATGGTACTAAACAAAATACACGTTCCTTACAGAATCTAATTCTTAAAAAAATTAATAAAGAATCAATCCGTCTTTCAGTTTTCTTATAATTTGGTTGAATGGTCACATTTCATGAAATTAATTCTCCAATAAATACCAACTGCGCATGCTATCCAAGTTGAAATAGAACGATACCATGGACATTTAGTACCTTACTTAACTTCAGGTTGGCCAATAAAGGAAAGGAATGACTCCAATACTGAACTCCAACCGTGCATCTCCAATGAATATAGTCTAAATAACTAATCATCTCAATAAACAACGAGTCAATTCATGTGAACGACTCTTAAACGACCATTCAGAATTTTACAAATTCGAAACACAACATAATTAAGTAAGTTTTTGATGATATACGGTCCTTCCCGCTCACATAGGAGTTTCGGACATTTCCCTTTACCTCTTTTAGGATGAAGTCGCCAAACCTTTTTTGACCAACCAACTGTAACTAAAATCAGAAAAATGAACATGAAGTTTTAAATCATATATATCAATCTAATCAGAGTGTCATTTGGAGACATTTCTTAAGTACAAGGTATTATTTGAGGACATTTGTATAGTTTAGGGACAGTCCCCAAAAAAAAATCATGTATCCAACGTATTATTTGAATACCTTATTTGTAAATTTAAATCGTAAAAAACACACGAACATTTAGTAAAGACTATAAATCTCCAATATTAAGAAAATCAGATAAAAAGTTAGGTTTCTTTAGTATTTATTGAAGAAAAATATATAGTCTACAACTTCTATAAGATTACCTCAAACCAACATATTTCAAAAATAATGATAATCAAACACAAATCGAAAGCAAACAAAAATTACTTATAACCTACAATCATTATTCTTATTCTCAATATCATCATTAATGTTATCATCTCCATATTCATTTTCTTCATCAAAATAAAAACATCTCCATCATTAGATCCTACACTATTATCATCATCAAAATTTTAATCCTTACTCTCATTATTATCATCATTAAAATCTATGTTGTTCTCATCTAAATTGATGTTAACAATGAGAGAAATATAAATAAGATCAGTATCATCAGCATCGTCATCAGTGTCCTCTTTGCTGTCGATTTCGTTGGTCATCCCACTATCGTTAGTGTCATTATTTTCATCGTCTACATCATCATCCATATCAATATTAAAAAGAAAAAGAATGTCATCTTAGTTGAAGTTTTCTTTCCTGACTGGTAGAAACAGATATGTTTGTTTGAAGTCGTCGAATATCAATTTACAAGCCGTATTATTCATATACAAATGATAAGTATGGTTTCTCATTTGATAACCATGTCTCTCCATGGCATAATTGATTCGCTCTTCTATATCATGAATATGATTCCATTGATATGGTATTACAACTTTATAGAATAAACTCTATGGTTGGATATAAGTACTGAAATAAGAAAGAAATAGTCTGAATAACCTTATTTTTATCTGTAGATTATTCGAATGTACAAAACATCATTATTAACATTAACTTATATTTATCTAATATACAATCTTCACTATACCTTTCTATGCGGCCATTTTCAATATTATTGTTAGTAATCTTCAAGGAATTAACATTTTCTGTATAAATATTGTCGTATTAAATATCTACTACTCTTACAAATGTCCAAATTTTATTATTTGGATCAATTACAAGTGTTACTTAAATGTCATTGCATGTAAAAATGTAATTATTTAAACTCTCTATTAGTTCTATTCATAACTTCATAGCAGAAAATAATTGATTTACTGAATAATTGATAAATGTCTGCTCTTGCCACTCTTGAGGAATGATTTTTGACTTTCATTTCTATTTCAAATAATTCCATCTGAAAGAACCAATTTTTTCTTTGCATTAATCAATTTACTCAATTGTTTTAAGAAACTTTTTTATTGTCAAAAAAAAGAATCCAAGTGTAAAAATTGAAAATATTTTTTTACTTACGTTGAAATGATAATCGATACGTTGAAATGAGAATCGTTGAATCTAAAGATCTTTTCCAATTATTAATTTATTTTTTTCTTTGTTATTAAATAATCAACAGAACACATCGAAACACTGTAAAATGTCGTTGTGGAATTTGCGTCTTTGTCCTACCAAGGCACTCTATACTAAGCTCTATCTTTATGCATGTTTGAGCCTGTTAGGGTACAAGTATCAGAATAGAGAGCACGTGGATTGGCGTAGCACAGTTCTAGTATTGCATCGTCGTTTCACTAACATAGACTATATATATTCCATCTCTGTTCTCAGTTATATTGGTTAAGGCATATAACAACAACAAATGGACGTGGTTAAGCTGCGCGTTTTCAGTCATGATTTTCAAAACGGCTTGTACATGAATTTTTATTCATACAGATTGTAGATAGATGAAATATTCAAAGTAAATTACTTAACGGATATCGAATAACTAATTCATCGAACGTTTTTTTTAATCATATTGAAAAAAAGAATAATTTATACATCAATTTTTCTATACCTAAAATAATTTTAAAATTTAATTGTTATTTTCATTTAAACGAAACATACTAATGACCAAATTTTCTGTTTGCAATTAAAGTTAATAATAATAATACTTATTCATAAATAACATTATGACAGAATTATTTTTCATTCAATAATATCATTTTTAGAATTTCTAAAAGATTAATAACCTAAGAAAAAAATGAATACACATGTAATAAAGAGAAAGAATCTGTGCGTTCAACTCAAGTCTCAGTCAAAAACTGAAGATAAACAAAATCTCCCCTCGTTGCTATAAACAATCTAATCGTCAAGCAATCGTCGTTAACTAACGAACTGTCGTTAGTCTAATAGTCATTAGATGGCAACATACAAATATTTTACACTTTTCCCGAACTTCCAAAAATTGCCACCTGGCAATTTTTATTAGTTGGGTAAAAATATTGGATTAGGCTGAAATAAATAAAATGAAAAATCTAAAATTTAATTTCTAATTCGAAATTATGAAAATCAAAATAATAATCATTCAGCCTAGATTCCAATATCGCCGCTTCCCAACTCTGTCTGCATTAAAAATAAATAAAACAAATAATTAGGAGGGAAAAATCCTGCGGCGGGTAAAAACCTCCAAACAGACCAAAATGATCTGAATTAAATTAAAAACGTGATTCTGTACAATAAAAGATTCCTTAAAAAATAATCGTCCATTAGTCAAATTAAAAATTAGAATTTGCATCTTCAATTCCCTTTCCATCCTTCTTTTTCATCAGGAGGAACCACTGGAAAGAACCAAAAGAACCTAAAGAGTAGGAAATGTCAAGAACTGGTCATGGAACTAAACAAAATAAAAGTTCCTCACAGAATTAAAGTTCTTTAAAAATTTCAATTTTAATCATAAATTCAATGTTCTGATTATAAAATAACTCATGATG